GAGATGAATAACATTAAGAATTATTTAAGATCTGAACTAGTACTTCATATCCAACTTGAAAACTAATTCTCAATGAAGCAATATTTATTCAAAACCTACACAGAAATAGCAAATTATAGTCCTTACATGGTCTGAACTTATCCTGAAATAATATTAACAGTAATCATACAGGGCTTTTTTAATGCCAGATTTAAAAGAGAAAGAGAATGATATTCAAAGTTAGTCTCATTAGAAGATATAGATGTTTAAATGTTGAAATGTATTTGCAAATACCCAACAATGCCTGAAACTTATGTCCACAAAGTGAAAATGCTAAAATAAATTTGAAAAAAAAAAAAAAAAAAGAAATAAGGTAAGCATTACGGTGTTAAAAAATAGGCAACACAATTATTGATAAGTGTGAAAAATGAGGATACAGACCTTATATAAACATTACAGTAGTAATCTTGTTTCACTAATATATAATTTTGGCAATATGTCTAATCTTTGTTTTTTTTTAATTTCCTTATTGGAAACTTACCAATAAAAAAGGAGTAACCACAAAATGCTAAAGTACTTTGCAAATAATTTATCACTTTTTTTTTTTTTTTTTTTTTTTTTTAAATGCAACCTTTATAATAGTGTTTTGTCTTGCATTCAAAAAGATTGGATTGGTAATGTACAACAGATCCACCTTCCTGAATTGATATTGATTTCTCACTAAAAAGAATTCCAAATTCCATCATTTATATATCTCTAACTTAGACAAGTGCAATAAACATTGATAAAACTGTAAAGTAGAAAAAAAATTATCCAAATTCCAGACAAATACATAAGAGCTAATCATTTGTTCATAGTTTTGTGTTTAGGTAATCTTTACCTGCATACAATGCATAAAAAATATTTACAGGCAGTCATTGTATTTTTATGAAATAATCAAGTTTCCTATCAAATACTAAGAGAATAAACTAGAAAATTTAGCTTTAAAAGATTTTCAACAAAAGTAAACAAAACCTATGACTTACTTATATATGATCTCCAAATGGATCAAACTTACAAATACAAATTGTAACTAATCTGTTAAGTAAGATAATGTGTATGATTTTATTTTCTATTCTGATTATATCTTCTGCTTTAGTGATTTGTTATAATAAGAACTGATTATGATCCATTGCTTTTAAATTTTTACTGATGGAAGTTTTTTTTAATTGAAATCAGGGTAACAGAGATGCTTCTATCTTGACAATTTATATTTTGTCAGATTTCATTTGGATTCATTTATACCTCTCAAATTTAAGTTTACAATTTAGTTTAATAACAGTATTTGTTATTTAGCAAAATTAAAACATTTTCTTCTTTATTTCTAAACTAATTTGCACATTCTCAACATGCACCATACTTATGAATATATATATATATATATAAAGAAAACAGTGTTAAATTTTTACAAAGATTTTATGAAACCAACAGAAAACATTTAGCAAAACAAATACTGAGAAATCAAGAAAGATGTACTAAGTATGCATACACAGACATTTGTTTTTTATTTACAAGGTTGAATTTTTTTTAATTTAAATAAATGAACCATTATAAAATCTTGATGCATATATAATATACATATGGATTTGAAAGTTGACAATTTTCAGAAATTACTCAAAACTCATGGCAATTATGTTGGTTTACTTATAATGAGTTGTAAAGATAACTCAACATCTAAAATCATTAATCAATAAAAACAAAAACATTTTTTCATTTGACAATAGGGGAAGAAAATGTTACAAATCCTTGACATGAAAAAAAGATTGTTTCAAACAGTAAAACCAAAATTGTTTGTGTGCATAAAATAATTCATATTCATTGGTTCTAAAATTACAACAAATCACAAAATTATATAGTAAAAAAGTTCAAATTAGAATGCCTTTTTAAAACAAAGGTCCCAAACAAAAGCAACAGCAATTCATGGCGAGTCTCACTGTCTTAAAAGAAAATATTTTTTAATAATACATTCAGGCAACAAAATGTTTAACTAAATATATTCCATTACGTGCAAAATAAATTAATTTTTCAGGAGACAAATGGAGATTCACCATTCTTTTTGTCATATACTTTATTTCACTTTGTTTTTAATCACATTAATTACAATAGGAAAAACTTCCAGTTAAAAGTAAAACAAAATTAAGAAAATAAACATCTACTAAAAAAATATCTGTTGTGTCTACTGAGCAAAACAGATCAATATAAACAGATACAATGAAACTGAAAAGATAATGAAGAATAAGGATAATTTACATTTTCTTTTTTTAACTGAAGGAATGTTTTTAAACCAAACAGAAAATAAATTATAAAATATCTCTCATCACATGAAAAATAAAAAATCTGTTGACAGTTCTTTAGAGTTAAATTTTATCATAAACACTATTCCTTATTTTCAGACAAAGAAAATACTAACAGTTTAGAATTATTTATAAGGAAAATTCTAGCAGTTTAGAACTATTTATAGGGAAAATGAAAGTAAAAGTAGTTGCTTCCAGTCCCAGCTTTTCATACTTGATAGAAAATAGCAAAATATCCTCAAGACATAACACAACAATAAGTATGCAATCAGTTGATCATATCTAAAATAAGAACAAAAACATAAGAAAAAAAAAAGTTAAAATCTGTTCGCAAGCAACTTTTAGCTACTGGGAAAAATTCATAAACATTACACAAAAAATAAATTAAAAAAGGTTAATTTAGAAAAGTTAAGATTTAAGGAAAAGCTATACTAATCAAAATCCCTTTAATTAGTAGCACTTATAATTCTGAATTGGCATGAAAAAAATATCCATAATCGGAATTTTGGATAAGATTATATAAACTTTAAAACCTAAAAGGAAACTTCCAATGAAAATAATGATAAAATTTAAAGAGAGAAAAATCACTATGGTTCTGTCATTGTATTTTCTGGCAATATGTCAGCTTCAGGGAACAGAATTCTTCTAAAAATCAGTTTTAATTTCAGTTTGAATGAGGTAGTACCCACAAGAAGATCCAGCAGTAAAGATATTCTCCATTTATCATCATAATTCAATAATGGTATATATGTATAGAAAAGTTCATGATGTTAACATTGTGATTAACTTGAATCTAACCTGATGCCTTCAGCTAAAGAACATTTAATGTTTACAGTCAGTTTTCACAGTTTACAAATTGTAAACTGTAAAGTTTGACTCCTTTACAGTTTAATGCAGTTTTATAAAAATATAAAAAAAACTTAACAGCCACCAATGCTCACTTTGGTTTTGTTATGAAAGGGAATTGTGAATTATAACAAAGAGAGTTCACTTAAATATTAAATTACTTAAAAGTAAGAAGGAAGTTCTGTCTGCTACAATATTTCATTAGCAAAGAAATTAAATAAGGAACTTATATTGATCAACATAATCAATATAAAATAATTGTCAAAAATGACAAAAAAATAGTTTTTACAAGGGTATAAGTAAATCAATAAACTAAAAATATATTAAAGTCAAACAAATTTACATGCAGTATGTAATTGATCAACTATAAAAAATATATTCTGTGAGATAAAATTTACGTGTAAAAAAATTGTATGAAAAATGAATCTGTAAAGAAATATAAAATGAACAATTTTCATTATGCCATTTGTTTTTCCCTTTATGATCATAAGAGCAATTACAAATTAAAATTTACATTTAATAATTTTTCAAATCAATTAAACTTGCTGTTTTATTGTTTGAATAGCATTCTCAAATTCAGATGAGAAAGTTCATTTGTTGCTCATTTTTTTTAATTCAAAAAGACATTTGAATTGCTTCATGGCATCAAAATCCTGATAAGTTTTGTAATGATGTTTAATTACATGACATGCTACAGCTTGTCATTTTTGTTTTTCTTTTTATAATGAGTTGTTTTTTGGCATAAAGATAATCTTAATGTCAAATATGGAAAAAATAAACTCTTTATAATTTCTTAATGCATATTTCACTAAAAAAAATTAACTAATTTTAATTTTAAAAAATTAATTCCATTTTCTCGAGCATATTCAACAAATAGTTTTGAAAAAAAAATAATATTAAGGCAACAAATGCCTAAAAATATTCATTCAAATCTCAAATACATTGTAATTCACTGCTAAGTAAAGGCAACATTAAGTCTAAAGAATTATACTGAAGTAGAATTACATTCAATTTACACTTAAGTCTTTGGTAATGCTTATTCTAATATTTGATCAAGGAAGGAATTTTTTAATTAAATTCAGACAAACTTTGATTAATAAAGAAATGTTGTATTAACAAAAACACTGACCATGTAAAGATTTTTATAGAGGATTTCAAGTGAAAAATATTACAAAATTTAATTAAAACTAGAAAAGTCAAAACAAATTCTCAATGACAAAAAATTAATAAGCAAATAATTTCAATAGCTGATGTTACTTAGTTTATAAAAACAAAAAGTAACTTTTTTAAAATAGAAAATATTTCTTTAGGATATTTTACCTGCTAATATTTTTTTAAATTCTGTTCATCTATTTTCAGTAGAACAAAACGAAAAAGATTTTATAGAATAATGCTAACAGTTAATTAGAAAAGCAGAAAATCTTCCAATGAGTAATATGGAAAAATAATACTGACCAGAGAATCTACAATCAACAACATTGAACGTCAGTTAAAAGAAGTGCACAAATGTTTGGAAATACTGCTGAAATCCTCATTTCTCAGACATACAAATTAAATGCTTTAAGAGAAGATTTTGTGACAAGGGAATAAAATTCTATGTGAGATTAACTAAAAATGACAGTATGAACAAAGCCAAAGAGATAAAGTACTAATAATTATATCATCTTGCCCATCTTAGATGTAATGTTAGATAATTTCACTTAGAAATATATAGTTGTACAGATAAAAGAGGGTTTGTATATCTCATATGATGGTATAAATACTCTAATAACAGGCAAATAATGTAATGATTAAATTGTAAAAAATTCCTAATGAATGTCACATAGATCAAGCTATGTTTTCCTAAACCACCATAATTTCACCTTTGCATTTTGGACAGCAGTTCAGTGTAAGATTTTCATATTGGATTGTGTGGTGATAGCGGTCCATCCATAGAGAATCTGGAGGCAGCAATTTTATTGACTGCATCCTCAGCAGTGTTGTTTGTTCAAGAGGAGCAACCTTTTTAAGAAGCACCTACAAAAGAAAAATCAATTAAGTGAAGGAGTATCACAAATACAGGGTTATAATGGCTGAATACAAAATTAGGATATTCTTAATCAAATGCAATAATTAGTTCAAAGTTGTAAATTTTGTATCTGACTGAATTTAGTAAAATATAAACTGTAAAATTCAAATTGTTTCAAATTATTTAACTGAATCCACCAGGGATTCTCCAGCATTTAATCAGTTTTCTTACTTAGTTTGTTCAATTTAAAAGTTGCTTTTCTATAAATACACAGTAACTTTATTTTACAGTTACGCCAAATAAAATCACAAAACATCAATTAATAAACACTTAAATAAAATTATTTCATAACATTGTTTTAAACTATATCAATCTTCCTGGTTATCATAATATACATACACTTTAATAGTAGTTAAATGTTAAAGTGGATGAACTTTTACTTATTCATGTTCTAATGGCTGGTATTGGATGCAGGTTTCATTGATTAATGAGGAAAAAATTTTACTTTATATTCTTGAATTCATGAGGGAAATTTATAATTTTTTTATTCATTAATATTGCATTATAAAAATTGATTAAATATGTTTAAGGATCAATTTATTTATAATTAAAAAGATCTATTTATAGATTCTCAATAAAAAATCTTAGAAACTAAACTGAATAGCATTTTTACTCTCTAAAAATAATAACACAATTTTATTTTATACAAATATTTCTAACATTAATTCCTACAGCTCAAAGTTTATAGCAGACACATTAGTAACTGCCATAAACAATAGTTAAATGACCAACCATCAAAACATACAGCACCTTAAAATCCCTGTAAGCAAACCAAAAAGAAAGTAACAAAAGCAGCAATTGCACAGTAAGCAAAAATACATCAAAATCTAGGGCTGATTTACATGTTTCAAGTAGAATTATGCAGTTACTATAAATTTTTGATAAGATACAATGCTTTTATTGATTTAAAAAAATACTACCCTATATTTTATAAAAAAATAACACATTGCATATAAACAAAATTAAATCCAAAACATGATACTTGAAAATTAGAATGCATGAACTATTAATAGTTCATCACTTTTCCTAAGTTTAGAAAATTAGTTAGAATTTTTGAAGACACTGACAAATGAAAAAGCTACTGCAACATCTGAATGACACCTGTGTCAAGAGAGCATTAAAATATTTTACAATATTTACAATAAAAACAACAATAGAAAAAAGGAGGGACAATTTAAACAATCAGAACCATTATCAACCAACCAACCCAGATAGAGAATATAACAGAAAGAGTAAAAAGCTAAAAGTAATACGTGAAAAAGATGGTGAAAGTTGCAAATTGAGAGGAAAAGGCAAGCAGCAAGCTGTTGTTCTGCAAACAGCATGTGCTTTTAAATATACAAAGCTTTCTTCTATTTGTTGTTGTCTGGGTGTGCAAGCAGACCAAACAATTGTGTTGTCTTTGAAAATCACAAGTGTTGAAAGGAAACAATTCATACTTATTAAATTCATAAATCTTTTATTGAAAACTAAATTTGTTATCAACTGTGAAAAGAGATTTCTCTTGTGAGTGGAAGCAATAGATCTTAGCAGTGACATCTTATTTGACTGTCCATTCTACTTAGGTGTGAGTGTATATGAGACTGCATGTGTGTGGATTTGATGAAAGAATGTAAGCTTAGATACAGATTAAAAAATGAAAGTATATAGAATGTTACTCATCTACAAAAGGAAATTCATTTTAACACAAAAATTTGAATTTTCTACACAATAAATAGACCAGTAAAATAAAAAAATCTAACAATGCTTGAAATTTTGACATTTGGCTGTGATCTGAACTTTAAAAATGTTCTATGACTGATCAAAGAATGTTTACATTAGTAAATAGGTTTTAAGCATACCAACATCAATATGATTGAATATCCTTTTGTAAACCTACAGGCAAGGCAACTGAATCACAATTCTATTGAGAAGATTCAAGACAAATAAAGAAGTATATAAAATGATTTTCAGGCATCATTGTTCAGTCTATGCAAAAATAAGTTTTGGTAAAATCAGTAACTCGCATTCATATACTGTCTTAAACAAGAGGGATGTAAATGAAAAAAATACTAAGATAATTATCTACAATTTGTATTTAAAACTAAAGAGAAAATTTTTAATTTTGATTAATAAATGAAATTTGAAGTAATAAGAAAAACTGAAGAAGCATTTTAAGAATGTATTTCTCAGTTAAAGCTTTTGCGTAAAAGAATTGCTTCTCAATATTGAAGGAATTTTAAAAATAAATGCACACTTATATGGCAAGTGTCACAATCAAAAGTAATTTACTTAAAAATAAATGCTTGTAATGCAATCTAACAAGACAAATTTTTTGATCAAGCAAGTTTAAATATATTTTCAGTCTTTGATCAATTATTCATTTTATTCAATATCTAAAACTTTAATAATCTGCAAGATGTCTGAAGAGAGTGGGAACTATAGTACAGTAAGTTGTTTCTTTAGTCTATTTATTGCCACTTTTCAACATCAGCAACACATTCCTTAGGAATCAAATAGCATTGAACCACAAAAAAAAAAGCCACCATAAGAAATTCAAATCCATCCCTTAAATCTATCTAAGACTTCAATGAAGCGCTTGCTTAACTCAATAATTCTTATGAAGATCAACAAGAATCCAGGAAAAAATTTGGCTCATCAATTCTGCTCCTGCCAACAAACAATCTGCTCTTATTTGGAAAACTGCCAGTGGCAGAAAACAAACAAATAAATCCAAGTTAAAGGTCAATAGTCAAGCTGAACAGCTGAATAAATGGCAAGACTATTTTAAAAATCTCTTGGGAATGTACCTGACATTTTAGATACTGAGGTTGAGCAAATCTTTGAATAACCTCTTGACATTAAACCTGGAAAATTTACAGATGCAGAACTTGAAATGGTTTTAAAAAATATCAAAAATACAAAAGTAGCAGGACTTGATAACTTTTCCCAGATGTTTAGAAGCCCAAGGTCTTCAACAATATTCTACTTCAACTCTGTAACATCATATATAATGGAAAAGTCATAGAAAGATGGGCAAAAGGTTGTATACTTCCTTTCCCAAAGAAAGGAGATCTAGAATTGGCAAAAAAATATAGACGAATCACACTTACCTCCAAAAAATTTACAACACAATGCTTCCCAACAACTTAAGGTTGAGAAGGTGCTCTGAAAAAATCAAAATGGTTTAAAAAAAAAAAAAAAAAAAAAAAAAAATAGATCAACCATTGGAAAAATCCTGACTGTTCAATGAATTATTGAGGGTGTCAGGGCAAAGAATCTACAGACCACCTTCTTGTAGATTTCTCTAATGCTTTTGATTCTGTACATAGGAGAAAAAATGGAGAAAGTCCTTCTGGTATATGGCATTCCCCCACTCCTGAGACAGTAGCTGCCATATTGATGCTATACAAAGATACTAAATCTTTGGTTAGATCCCCAGATGGAGATACTAGCTTCTTCAACATCAAAGCAGCATCCTTCAGAGTGACATCCTTGCACCTTTTCTTTTAGTTATCACCCTTCTCTACATATTGAGAACTTCCTTTGACAAACATCAACATATAGGTTTTACTTTACCACCAAAACTCTCAAGTCGATATCCTGCAAAAAAATTGACCAATACCAACTATGCAGATGACTTAGCTATTACTACAGACACAATTACGAATGCTACAGTTGTACATCATCTAGAAAATGCTGCAATTAATGTTGGACTCTACATCAATGCCTCTAAAACTAAATTCATAAGTTTCAACCAGCAAAGCTCAATACAAACTGTCTCATACCTAAGAAACAAAATAAATTCTACTGAAAAGGATGTGAAAATTTGCATAAAATAAATGGAATCTGATCCACCAGACAATCTCAGAGATTCTTTCAAGCCACTGTAGAGATGTATGGTGCTACTGCTTGGATATTAACTAAAACCCTAGAGTCTCTTGGAGACAGCATCCAACTAAATCACAGTTCTATGAACCCATCCTTGATATTTCTACAATCTTACACATATTTAGAATGTGCTTTGCAGGACACTACTGGTGAGCAAAACAATGACTTGTGAGTAATCTACTACTTTAGACACTTAGCCATGATGTAAGATGGGCTGGTCACCCAGCAATTACCTACATTGACCAGCTATGTTATGACACAGAATGCCACCCTAATGACCTTGATGCAGGATTATGATGGTTGGCATGATAAACTCATGAATGTCCAAGCTAGCTCAACCAAATAAATATATAATGAACCTGTTGATAAAAAAAAGGTATGCTTACACCACCACAATCCTAAATCTTTTACAATTTATTCCTGAATAACAATTCACACCTTAAAAAATCTTACAAAAGAAAAAAGCTTCTGGCTGATTTAAATTATTTGAGGAGTTCAAATTTATTAGCAACTTAAACAAAAAATGTTACAAAAACAGCCAGTTACTTAAAAATGTTTAGGGTTTTGCTGTACTCAAAATATTTGTCAAATGGACAAGTGCATTCCTTAATAAAAGAAAGCTTTTTCTTTATGGAGCAATTTAAACAATATAGATTTCACTTTACTATGTTCTGTCATTATGCACAGAAACAGTGAGGCAATAAATACATCACAAGGACAGTCACCTAAAATATTGAAAGTCTTTGAGAAGATGTGACATAGGGAGTTCTTACACAAACTCTCCAGCTATGAAATATCTGGAAGAGTTTTCTCAATTAACCTAATTAAAGGTTGTTTTTAATGGCCAGTGTTTTGACACTCATAAGATCAATGCAGGCATCCCCCAAGGCTTGTTTGTTGGTCCTACCCTATTTCTGCTTCATATTAACAATCTACCTAAGAATATACTCTGATCTTTAAGGAAGATCTAGGCAGATGATACAACAGTATATTGGTACACCTCCAATAACCTAAATGGCTAGATCCTGGCAGCCAGTCTCTCCTCTGACCTAGAAATAACAGCTCAGTGGCTTGTAAC